TGTAAGACAGAGACTTCTGGACTTGCTAAACCTTCAGATCTAAAGAATTTAAGGTTTCAACCAGTGTTTTGGACTAAGCCAATAACAAAACTAATAATTTCTTTATTGGCAAAAAATGTTGGTAATCTTTAGTTTGCCATTCAAATCTGTTCTTCTTTTGTTCTTCTCTCATTGGTTGAGAATACAAATTTGAAAATTTGAGCTCAAAAAATATTGCTTTAAAAAAGAAGATACAGTCTTAAAACCTCGCAATGAAAGTATCTACTTAGCCAATACTTCCACTGCATTACTGTGATTAATTCAGGAGGTGCAGCTGATCTCAATTATCCCTGGAGCTTCAAAGACATGTACTCACTGCATTTTCTTTCCTTGTTTTTCAAGTCATAGGGGTGAGTAATACAGCTAGTAATTGAGTGACCTGCTTTCTTCAGAAACACTTTGGAACAAATGAAGACAGGGAGAAAGGGAATCTCTTCTGTTTGCTTTGCACTGAATATCTAGTGAATAAAATAAAAAAATATGTAAGTTGCTCATCACTGGCAGTTTAAATTGGATTTCTGAGGATAAGAAGCAAGGATGTCTTATGCATAGACTCAAAGGCAGTTGACAGGGAAGAAATAATTTTTCACAGTGCAGTGAGGTTTTCAGCACAGTCTTGCAAGAATCTGTGCAAGCCTTGTTCTATCCAAAATACTCAAAACTATCCTAGAAAAAAGGTGAACAGTGGGGTGATAAAACTGGGTAATGATTTAAATTAGCTAATACAGTGAAAACTAAAGGAGGCAGAAAAGAAGATATATTAGCTTTAATTTAAGTACCTAAACTGTAAAAGACATATATAATGCCTAATGAATGCAAACTAATGCACTTAGGGATGAACGTGGACAGTGAGAAACCAGCTAATATTACTCAGGAAAGAGATCCTGAATTTGCTGTGCATAATTTAATGGTTCTGTGAACGTGTCAATAGAGCATCTGTCTGGGTAAAAAGGAAGGCAAGTGGGGTGTTAGATATTAGGAAAGGAAGAGATGACAAAGCTGAATTGTTAAATGTTATTTATCTGATGTTAAAGGTGATTTATCTGATGTCTTTTCCAAGTGGGAAAGAAAAAGTAGGAGGTTATAATGGAGGTGCATAAAACCATAAATATGAAGAAAAAGGGAAAGCGGGCAGTTGTTTACTCTTCACTCTTTCTCATAGCATGAGAACTGAGAAGCATCAGGAAGTCCATTTTCACGCAATTAAACCATGGAAGTCATTGCCACAGGATGTTATGGAAGCCAGGAGTGTTAAGGGAGTTCAGAAAGGGATTATCCAAATTAATGGATGGGAGTCCCATCAGAGGTTATTAAATATGACATTCTGGCTTGGGAAGTCCTGTACTTCTGATTGCCAAAGCCAGGAGGAGGCTAATAGGGGAATGATCTTTTGTGCTTTGTCTTTGGCTAAGCATCTGCTATGGGTCCATTTCAGAGGCACTATGCCTGGGAGAGATGAAGCTTTGATATGACCTAGTTTAGTTGTTTAGTATCTTATTCTTAGATTCCAATTCCTAGTTTAATACAGAATTAACTAATTGCATGATTAATCATGCAGCATACAAACTTCCCCTTTTCACCCCTTTATCTCCCAGTCCATCAAAAACTGTGCACTGATATTTTTTTCTGTGTTCACTACAAGTCATTGTTTTGGTTTACTTTTTTTAGAGGCACCTAAACACCACTGTTTGCTCATTTGAAATGCACAAGCTTGTATAATCTTTTTGTCGCATTGCTTGAACCTCTCCTTCTAGTAAAGGATTGTGTTTGGCATTAAATGTATGAGTTGTCTTGGCTATATTCTGTAAACCCACATCTTTGGCAGTGCCACAGAAAGTTGTTTTCCTTTTCTGCGTGAGTCCCTTGTATTGTGTTCTTCCTCAAAGAAGTTACATTTATTTTGATAATTGGTTTTGTTTTACTTGCTTATGTTCATTGCTTATTTGATCATATTTACAGCAGTGTTTATCTTGCACAAAATGGGGAAGGAAACATGTTCAATTCATCATTCTTATGTTTTAAACATGTCACAAGAGTAAAGAGAAGATAAAAGTTTGTGTCTTAAATTGTTAGGAATTCACCATGAAAAAATGTAATCCAGAAAGGCAAAGTTAGTCTTAACAAAGCTTGTTTTTATTCTGAAATTAGTTTCCAGGAAACCGACAACGCGTGGCACGGCGGATGCCTGGCTCTGGCTGAATTAGGCAGAAGAGGATTGTTGCTCCCTTCCCGAATTTCAGATGGTGAGTTGTAGTTGCTGAATGTTACTGTGTTCCTGAGTTAGCAGATTGTTTCAGAGACTTAATACATGGCAATAGACTGAAATTTGCTGATCTGAGTGTGCTGAATAAGGACTGGAGTATTAATTCCAGAGTAAAAAATATGCCTGTGGGGATATTTAAGGTACTTCTGTCTAAAGCATTGTTTTGGGTGTGCCTTATTTAATAAATTTTTCTTTCCAAAATGAAATTAGTTTCTTGGGGTTTTATTTCTCCCTCTCCCCCATGTTTCTTTGTGCAGTCGTATAAAAATAATCTATATGCTTCTATATTGTGTCAATGCCATTATTTCAATAGAATATATGAAATAATGAGCAGCTAACTTGCATTTTAAGGCTGATAGCTTATTTTGTTTGTTTCTGATGAAATTTCAGAAACACAGTTTGATTTAATTGATACAATGAACTGCTTTAAGTTCGTTTTTTTTTTTTAATGGGTTCTTGGAATATCAGAATGAAATGAAATAACAGGGCAGAAGGAATTGTTTCTTTGTGACTTCTGTCTATATCAACTATATCAACATTCACTGAAGTACAGTGATATCTATGTGAATGTAGTAGTAGTTCTATCTGATGTGATTTTTGGATAACTTGTTATAGCTTTATAATGACAAAAACTCAATATAGTAGTACACAGACTGTTGGGCACTTTTCAAGCAGTGGATTGGGCTGGATGTTTTGGTCTCACTTAGCACTCTTGTGTTCTTGTTTGAATGGAGAGACTGAACACTAATTTTCAGTAACGTTCTGTAACTATTATTTCTTATTAGTGAGTTTGGTTGCTGCATCTGTTCTGCTCTGGAGATCTGTTGACTTCCAGGAGAAAGCGAAAACATAATATTTAATGCATTTCATCATTCTGTCTCCATGAAAAGAGTTCACATCCAAAATAGTAACTGTTTTGAATGTGAGAATTTTTGTGCAGACCATGTTCAGCTGGTTTTCCTCTTCTAATTACTTTTGGCTCTGTGTTGTAAAAATGAAATGATTAACAAACCAAAACAAAACAGTTTTAAGATTGGGAAGTGATCCAGTGGTATGTCTTTATTCCATTTCTAATTCAACAGAAACTGTAGACCTCTGTCAAGGAATCAGGGCAGCCTAACTATTACAGTTTAACTGGACTTCTGTTACCGTATTCCCCTTGTTCAAACTGAGATTGATATTTTTGTCTTTTCACAATCTGAAAAGCTTTCTCTATGAAAGATTAAAAAACTGTAGTGTTACTCTTCTGTTTCTTGAACAACTCAGAACTTAATCCCTGAAAGTTTGTTTACAGTTAACATCTTAGCCTGAATATCCTAAATACTTTATCTCAGAACTCCATTGCACAAACATTAAACAGTAAATTCTGGAGGCTGCAGTGTGTTTAATGCAGCTCTGCTTCCTTACCAGGGTTTATGCTTGCTGGTAATGTTTGAGCAGATGAGAGTCTCTATTATCTGAATAATGACTCATGTATACCCATATTTTTGAGTGAATAATGGTTAATCTGGAGTTATTTTACTTACACTGATAGTAGGTACTATTGAAATGTGGGTGAGGTGTTCATGCAGTGGAACAGGCTCACATGTCTTTAGGAGAAGTGCAGGATATGCCAGACAGCAGCTTTATCACAAGGGTTTCTCATGTGGAGCTGAAGTGCAAATGTATTATTCTGCTGAATTAATTATTCACTGAAGGAAGTTCCATTTTTAGAGTTAATTGATAGTTGATACCACACTCTACTTTTTTCCCTTTTTTTTCCCCTGAAATGTGTTGCAGATAGCATAGCGAATGTATTTGTGTTCTGAATGACTTTACATACATGTTAGGTACAGGTTACAGATTTATTTGAAAAATTACAAGTTTATGTACACAGTTGTAGAAGCAGAATTAGCAGTTTTAGGATCTATTTAGAAGCACGCTGAAACTGATAATTGGCGATGCCTGTTTTATGAAATAAAACCTTCACCAGGAGAGTTTTCTCAGGTGAAATAAATTATATAAATATCCTTCAAGGCTTGGAGTTTGAAGGTTGCCCAGTGTCTGTCTAAGCTCAGAGGATTAGGCACCTAAATCATTTAGATCTTCATATTTTCAGTATTGTTTTCATAGTGGTTCAGTTAAAGCTAAACCGTGCTTGTTAACTTGGTGCAGGCTGTCTCTGGTTCAGCTGAAGTCTTGTGTTTAGCCAAAACAAGAAAAGCTTGCTTATACAAGGTTTGGGTCAGTCTGTTCAAGCTGGCCTCTGCCTCTGAGTAATTTGGACTTTTGTTTTGCATTACGATATAATGGCGAAGTGCATTCAACCCCTGACCAGTTTTTACAGTAAACTCTAAGTAGCCAGGTCTAATCTTAAGCTTTTTTAAACTACTGAACCACAAAATAAAAAGTTGTTCAAAGAAAAAAGACAAAAAACTCTATTAAATTAATCCTGAAAAATACTGACAGTATGTTATTGAACAGTATTGTTTCTACAGCTTAAACATCTTATAAGAAAAAGAAGTTGTTAAAGTTATTTTACATTAATACAACTGCAAAAAATCTTGGAGATTTGTCTAATGGACTTTGGCTTTAGTAATGAATGCAAAAATTCACTCATAAAAACCTGAGCTTGTAGAAGGGAACGCTCAATTATTTAAAAATACTAATATAAAATTATGAACATTATTTACATAGGAGAGTTTGAATGTATCTTGCCATGGACCAAATCTAGTAAGAGATGGTTTGTAGAAAATTTCTGTGTAGGTGGCAACTAATTTCTGTGATTAGAAACAAATTGGAGTATTAAGATACTCTTGTTCTCTTCCTCAAAGTGAAGACTCTGCTACAGTCATTTGGCCTTACTCTTTTAGTGCTTTGCTGTGATTTTGCTGATTCTTTTTGATTTGTCCTTTTTTGTCCTTTTACTTTTTGATTGCACTGAGTATCCTGAGTATCAGAAGAGTTGGGAGTAGATTCTGTACTCAAAGTATTACAGTCCTGAGGACTCTGCCCTTCATTGTCCATCCTAACTTTGCTGGGGCTGTATGCAGCTAGCTGACAGAGAGCTACAGCCGCTGTCTGTTTCTGTTCATCACAGCTGTCAATGATGCGTAAGTCTTGAGCTTCGTTACGGTGAGCCAGGAAAGGTTTGTCACAGGCACTGTTAATAGCGTTCTTGGGGTTACATGCTCCTGAGCTTTCTGCTCCTGAGTTTTCATTTTCTGTCTTTGGAGAAGTAGCAGCACCGTTATCATGAGATGGACTGTGGGATGTTGTTTTCAGGCTTACTGTGTTACAGGAATCTTTTACCGAGAGGTTCAGAGGCATATCTTGCAATTCTAGAAAGTTCTGACTTTCTGTTTTGGACGTGGCTTTGTATGCATGTTCATTAGGAGGTCCTGTATTTGTGTCAGCCTTCTTTGAAAGATTAAGGGGAGCTATTCCGGTGTCGTCTTCTGTGCTGGACAGCGAACCTTCATTGTTGTGGCTTTCACTTGGTGTATATGAATCTTCATCAGTGACATTAATGCTGAAAGAAATGAGAAGAGAATTCAACATCTGTTGCTTTTTTAAAATTGAGGCTGAGGAACTGGAAAAGAGGAAAAGAAAAAAGAAATCTGGCTTGGTAGTCTTACAGTCTTGTGGTTTTTTTTTCTTTTCCCTCCCCCCAAGTCTCTTTCCCCATACCTCCCTCTAGTAGAAGTGTTTTCCTGAAATGCACAGGTACATGCATGGTAATGGTGTTAGAGATACCCGATGCCTACTCATACAGCAGTTGGGATTTGTACAGTTGTACATACAGCTGTTTTGTGGACATATCTTATGGAACAAATCCCGTTGCTATAAATGCAAATGTATTTTAGGGGGATTGCATGAAGTATATGCATGCTGTCTATGTGTGCCCCTAAAAATCTGACAAGAATTTGCAAAGTGATGTTACTGCTTTACCTGGAAGGTGAATCTTCTCTATCTTGCTGTGTTGGCACGCTTGGAAGTAGAGCTGGTTGATCAGTGCTTTTTCTCACAGGTCTGAAAGCTGTAAAGTTTTCTTCTGGTTGGTCATACTTTCCAAGTGATGTGGAAGACGATTTGTTGGAGAGGTCAAATAAGCCCTCACATGCATGGCTTGTCTGAGTGAAGTTGGTGGGGCTGGGCCTGCCTGGGGAGCCCGTTGCTGCACTTCCTGCAAGAGGGCTCATTTTAGCATTCTCTCTTTCATTTTGGTCGTCTTTGGAATGACTTTTGGCATGCAGTAATGTTATTTCCTTTTCATAGTCTGCTTGTTTTTTATGTGAACCTAGAGGATATTGTTGGGAAGGACTTAAAGAAGCTGGGTATAACAAAGTAGTTTCTTCCATTAGATGAGAACTTTGATCTCTGTTGATACCGGCAACGTGTGAAAATCGATAAAAGGGAGGATCCGTGGGCCTACAAAATCCATATGGTATTGGAGGAGTGGAATGATACTGCTGGAACAGTCGATAGTGTTCATATGCTGATGGATTTATGTGTTTCGGAAGCGGCCCAGGGTGAGGAAGAAAGTGTCTTTGGTCTTGCGTGCCGTAGACGGACAGAGCAGAGCTTTCACACTCGGAATTACCTGGAAGCAAGTAAGGTGTATAGATGGCCAGCCTATGCTCATAGAAGTGGGGCGAGTACTCTGGGATCATCGGTTGCATGTAAGGTGGAATGGAACCGAAGCCTTTTGTGGGAGGAACTTTATGTGGAAATTCTGGGAGGAAAGGAGAACCTGCTTTCCATGGGTGACTTGGTGCATGAAATGCAGATTTAGTGTGAAAAGGTGAACTTTTGTTAGAGAGCGATAGAATTTCAGATACTTCACTTGTTTCTGGGCCTTTGCTATCTCTGTGTTCTCCTACAGGAACAAAAGCTGAGGGCCTCCCAATGCTGTCCAGAAGAGGCTGCATGCCAAGGGTGCTTTCAGCTGAGGTACTGGCAGGGGTTAATTCCTTCTGGATTGCAGGTTTCTGACCTTGAATTGCTGTGTTCGTTGTTTGGTTTTGTAATTCAACGTTTTCCTTGGCATCTTCTTTTGGAAAAGCATATTGAGGCTTTGAATCGAGATTTGACAGTCCGTTTGTGGCTGACTTGGAAGAAGTGGGTTTGACTGTAGGCTCTAGGTGATTGATCTGCTTGGGCTCCAAGGAACTAGTCTTTGGGCACTTGATAACACGGTCCTGCTCTGATACTAAAGTAATGGAGTTTTTGCAGAGGCCATACTTCATATGGTTAAAAAGATGGGATTTCTCATTGCAAGTAAAGGGGCACTGAAAGCACTTATACTTAAATGGCTTTCCTGGCGGTCTTGGGATGTAATGAGGCTTCTTTGGTTTACGCTCTTTGAGGAGACTCATCTTTTTTTCTGCTTTAAACAATTAAATGTAATGATTCTTTATAAAGGCTTTCTTGTGGTTAGCTTTCCTTAGTTTAGCCTCTTGATGTTTCCAGTTTATCAGGTTTCTGGAATCCTTCTTCCCAGGTGAAAAGAGGAAGCCAACTCCCAGGGTGTCTCAGGGAAGAGGGGGTGCCGGAAAGCAGCACTTCTCTAACTGGTAGCACTGGAATACAAAGTTCAAAATTAGCTGTACTGGAACATTGGAACTAAACACAAACATTTTTTTCCCCCTCGTTATATCTATAATGTGTGCTTTTTGGTAAAACAAGACAAATGCTGGACTCCCGATATAAAATAGACACACGTTAAACTGGAACATTGTTCAGCACCTAAACATATTTGCAGAAGTGTCCCAGTTTTCAGCAGCGCTGTCACCTGCTGCTGCTGGGGACCTGAAGGAGTTTTCTCTGAAAATTAAAGGAAAATTCATTCAGAGGATGAAAGCAGAAATCCAGGTGGAGCTATTGAGAGAGAAGTGGAGGTGGGTAGAATGAGAAGAGGCAGGTCCTGGCAGCGGCTGGGTATGGGGCAAGCCTGTCAGGCCGGTTGGGGAAAGAGAGGAGGGAGTTTCCTGCTTGGTGAAATGAGGGTGGAGTGGATTGGCTGCACTCGGGTAGCTGACTCGGCTCTTTCAGAGACTGACCAGCCCCTCTTTTAGCTGCATGGCATTTCCTAACAGCCTAATCTTGATGGATACCTCAAAAGTGGCCAATCTCTCGAAGGATAAAACCACACCAATTTTCTTCCTCTTCCTAATACAATTAAGAGAAATGAGTACTGGAGTATCTGACTAATAGTATATTCTGCTTGATAAACACATTTCACGTTCTTCTGCTGCGTAGCACCTCATGTATCGCTTTGACAGACACACAAGTAGGTTAATTCATGTTTTTAAAAAAAGCATCTGACAGTGATTGATTTACAGGGGCATGATCTATCTGCCTTCCTTCAGAAAAAGTGAGGTTGTGGATACTTTGTACAGCCTAATGATTTGCTCAGTAGATAAGTCAGGAGGGCTTGTATCAGCTTGTTCCATTATGTTCGCTGATTCTGAAGGCGTGAGAAACTCTCAGAGTCAAGTTCTCATGATTTTATAGGATGTGTTATGGCAGAGATCTAAAAACTGATGATTTCATCATGAACTATAAGCATCATTATCAAAATGATGACTGTTGCAAAACCACGTACTGTATCTATTGTGTTACCCGAAACTGCAGGAATACTAATTGTAGGAGTGACTAGTATAGCTTGAATTTTTTTTTTAAAGCTTTTTACATAGAGGTTTGGATTAGTAGCGTTAAAATGTCAAGTTTATGGAAAGAATTGTTAGTAATTACATGCTGTGAGATTTTAGTTGAAGTAGAAATGTTTTGCGTTTCTTAAATCAGAGATTATTTAATAGAAAATGGCATGCACCACGTTATGAAAACTGAAGGCAAAGCTACAGAATTGCTGCTTGTTTTATCAGGTATAGTAATTCTGGGAAATTGTATTACATATTGTTTCTGATGTCATAGAAATATTAATTCGTGTTAGGGTGGTAATTGTGAAAGCACTCTGAAAAATGCAGCCTACTGTATAAATAGAAAAAAAATATTTTGATTAGAATTAACAAATGATTAAATCTGTGACAGTGTAAGGAAGTAGAAGTGTGCAGAGAAGTTGCTGCTTAATTCTCAGCTTTTAACAAAGCTTTTTTGTTGGACTTCATAGATGCTGATACTGTTACAGTGCAAAAGAAAACGACTGGAATTGTCCAGCAGTGTGTTAAATTCCTGGCACTGCAGTCTGGTTAAAATAGCAGCTCAAACCAATAAAATAAAAATACAAAACAAATGTGCCTTGTAGGATTTAAAAACTAGTAGCCTGCTTTCCTCTGAAAGGTTCAGAATAATGCCTTTACTTAATAAATACATAAAAATAAAAATTAAAGCTTGCAATGGGAGGTCCAGATATGTAGCCAGCTGGTTGGTTGGTGGTTTTTTTTTTTTTGCCTTAAGTGAATTTATTTTTGACTAATGGTGTATAACTAACTCAGCTTGTAATGGACGTGATCATGTTAGCTTATATTTGTTCTTTGTATCTTCTTGGAAGCCCTTGTACAGATAATTCTTGAAAAGAAGATACTGTTGTCAAAACTCCACTGCATTCTTAGTTTGGCCATTTATGATAAGTCTGAATTTACATTCAGGTGCAGCACTTATAATAAAGAGATGTTAATTACATTTTCTTGTTCTTCTAGCTTTCCTTTGCTTAATAGTGTAAATTCCTGTGCGTCCTGTTCCCCCCCACCCCGACGTTGTACTTGGTATTTAACTTTGATTCAAGTTATTCCTGTTCTGCAGAATATTAAGTATCATTTCTTAATAAGATAAAATGCTCTGTTGCAGTTTTAATGTTAGAAATTTAGAGCATTGGCAGCTTCTTTGCAACGCGTATAGCAGGAGGGAATTAGGAGTGCTTTTTGATGGCGTGCTCAGCCTGCAGTGCTTCTGGAACCAGCCACGCTCACCTGGGAGGGTACAGCGAGGAGCTGATTTGGAAAGGGTGTTCACCCTTAGTAAACTAATGTCAGCCAGATTCATGTTGTGTTTTGCTCTTTTAATGGTTAATCCTTTTTCTTTTCTTATGACTTAAACGTGCCAGTAGTAAAACGCTTCTAAACTAAGCCAAAAAGGACACTTTCTCTTTTAATTTCAAAGGAAAACCCAGTACTTTTATCTGGCAAAAGTACTTATTTCAAAACTGAAGAAATTGAAAACTATTTGACCACACATATAAAACTGGAAAAATATTAATGGTTTGAAGCAGCTGCAACTAATTTAGACTGTCTGTGTATAAATAATATATACATATATATATACTGTACAATGCATGTTTTAGATGACTGAAATTAAAATCTAGAATTAGGAAAAACAAATCAAAATAAGTAGTTCCTTTTTACTTAGTCTGGAATTCCATAACTTGTGATATTATTTAAAACATGGGGAAAAAAAATCTCGAGTAGCAGGATTATAGCTTTGATAGCTTTCATGCCTTTTTGTTTGTTAACTGAGAATTTAGTTCCTGAATGCCAGATTTGAGAAGTGTGGATAGTTAAATACGAAATCTTGTTAGTTTTGTAGTGCACTAGTAGTGTTGATTTGTATTTCTGTAGAAAACAGGTTACTGAGATCATGGGTTAAACCCGAGGCTCTCAGTTGTTTGCTCTGTCGACAGCGCACGTCCTTACAGCCCTGTCCAGCCGCAGTGCCAGAGCTGCACGACTTCTTCCTTCCAGTTTAAGTCTGCTGCTGCTACCTCCTTGCTTTCACAAAGGTTAGCAAGGCCAGAAAATAAGGATATAATTTAGAATTGTGTGCGTGTATGTGTAAGTACATAAAAATGTATTTCTCTGTATCCTTGTGTATGTATACTTATACATATGTATTCATACACATACATACACACATGTATATATGCATGTACATATATATATATATATGCATGCTGTTTTTTAGTTTTTAAAGCAGTCTAAATTGTTTAAGATGCCCAGCTGATCAAAGGGGAAATTTCAAAATGTCTTTTATTACAAGCAGGGATGGTAATTAGGCGTCTTTTTAGGACACTGCTTTAGCAAACTACGTAACAGTTTGTCATGCACACTCCATTATTATTGCAGTATCCTTTGGTGATGTTGATCTCTCTGACCAGGAGCACTCACTGGGGTGGAAACGTTTTGAAGGACATGCTATAATTAAAATATTGTGATGTGGCATTATTGCATAACTCAAGGACATGCCATTGTCACCTACCTAGCGTGTTGCAAGAACAAGATTTGTGAGGTTTATTCTGGTTGAGATTTTCCAGTGATTAACCACCACTCCCTTCTAAACTTCCAGTTCCTTTAAACTGAAAGATAAATTTTAACACAACTGTTTGTTAATTAGGAGGAAACATGGGCGAGAGGAGTGGGCTGGTGAGGGCTGGGAAGGAAGTGAGCGTGCAGGGTGTGAGGGCTGTGCTTGTGGAGGCGGCAGGGACCGAGCAGCCTGGTGAGGTGGTGGGGATGAGAATACAAAATCTTCCTAAATATTAACTTAATAACTCCCCATCTTAATGCACTTTAATTGGCGAGGGAAAGGGTAACTCATAACAATCCGGTTTTCTTTACTACATTCCCACAAACTGGAAAACTAACAAATCAAAACTGAAATGGAATACGTGGTTTTTCACGCAAGCTCTTCAGATTAACCCAGTCCTACTGTATAAAGAATAGCTGGCAGAACAAGCAGCAATTCCAATCAATACAGCTTTTCTGTCATTCTTCAATATAACACATTATCTTTCTCTACAGGAAAAAAAAAAAGGTTCTTAAAAATTTTTCACCAGCAAGAGTAAGTTACTGTAAAAACTAAGAGTCCCTTTCTGGCACCGTCTAAAATCTTCCCCTCTCCTGTTGAAACTTTCTGCCGAAAGCTTTAAGTGGTGCAGTAAATGCACCTGCTGGGAGGAACCCAGGCTTCTGAGCCAGCTGAAAAAGGAAAACCTCGGATTTACTTTTCAGCCGTAATAGAAACACGTTTTTCTTTGAAAAAATTCTTTAAAGAAGAGTACTTACCAGAGACATAGGTGCGTGAAACCTTCCAGGTGATCACTGTTGCTACCCTGTAGCTGTCACTGCTGAGAGAGAAGTACCTGTTCGCTGCCGGCTCCCTAAGTGAAACTGCAGGAGGTTGTTTCAGGGGGAGGGACTTAAGAAGTGTAGGAGTTGAGCCCTCAGGGTGTAGAGATGCACCTGATATTACTCCAGCCTGAAGCTACGATTCATTTGTTTGCGTCCACTGCTTTCATTCAGCATTACCTCAGCATCTCGGCTATCGAAGGGAGCTCTTGTTGCTTTTGTGCCCTCCAACAACCAAGTTTTGCTCTAAACTCTGGTGTCTGTTCCTCTGAGCAGCAGTCTGCAGTGTGGGGTCAGAAATGACTAGGCGTGATATACTGAGCTTCCAACCTACTTCACTTCACTAGGAATGACTTGTGAGCAGCAGAATCAACAGCACGCAGAGGGTGGCAAAGCTTAAAAATAGGAATTTTACATTCTTAATAGAAACTGGCTTTTTTTTAATATTAAATGCCATTGGAGCTTTAATATTGTTTTTTTTTTTTCCTCGCCCTCTCCATTTTTATTTAAATCTTTTTGTCCTTCATGAGTCTCCTCTCCGAAGGCGGGACTGAACTAACTCTAAGCTTGCCACGGGAACCTGCCAAAGCTTGCCTATAATCAGCAGTCAAATGTACAGATCCTGCAAATGGGAAGGAGTCACCTCGGTGAGAAATTGATTATCACGTCTGAACGTTTGCTCAGGAGTGGTAAAACTGCATGGGGAAAGGAGGAAATCTCATCATCCACTGATTAGTGCCAGTAGTTGCATTTTAGTTGGAGATCATAAATGACAACTTTATTAGTGTGTCTACCAATTATCTAGTGGCTTGGTGAAATAATAACTTCTCACATGCTGGCCCTTTAAAAGGAAAATCTTTGAGAACTTCTGTCTAAAAATCCACTTCTGTTACTGTAAATGAGTCCCAAGTGGTTTCTGGCTACAACTTCTGATGGTTTTGAGTCATTAAATTTTTGGAACTTGAAAATATGGAGGTGTGAATGTCTTATGGACATGTCCTTTCCTACCTAAGCATACAGATTCCCATCTTCCTGTTACTGTGCCTGTGTTGTTTTCTGGACATTTATTTTTTCTGACTACAAGCAGTTGATTTTTTTTGTTTGTTTGTTTTGCTTTTTTTTTTGTTTGGTTTTTGCTTTAATATTCACTTTCCTATAATGCAGCCTAACAGCATAAAAAGATGTCATATTACTGTCCAGCTGTAAATTCTTCAGCTCTGTAAAGACCTGTAGGGAGAAGACCTTTGC